CGAAATAATTTAGAATGATATAATATTTCAATATTGATATAAAAAAAAAAAAAAAAAAAAAAAATTAAAAAAAAAAAAAGAAAATTAAAAAAGTTACTTGATTCTTACCCGTAATACTCCTATTTCTCTTTCAATTTTTGTAAGTCGAGATGGAGTATCCACAGATTCTTTACGTATAAGTTTAATTGCGACCTATAAAAAATAAATAGAAATTATATTTTCAAAAAAAAAGTGAAAAACCGATTAGCACTTATTAACAAGTTAAAAGAAAAATTTTCAAAACAAGCTAAGTAGATCAAAGTTAGGAAAGAATTAATTCTAATAACTTGTAGTATAATCACTAGATCTTACCTCTTCACCAGTGTCTACATGCATCCCAAGTTTAACTTTACCAAATTCTCCTTCACCCAAAGTTTGCAACAATAGATATGGACCAAACATGTTACCCCTTCGTGCGGAGCTTTGAGTTACTGGTGGAGGATGTGGTACTTCAGGATATCGAGGATAATTCATAGGAACAGGAGTTGAAACAGGTCGACCTCTTACAGATTGTAGTTGGACATGTTGAGGATGTGCAGGATTTGACTGTGGTGTGGTTAAGTGAATTGTTGCCGCCATTAATGCTGGATTTTATGTGTATTGTACTAAAGTTGATGATGAAGGCTGAGTTTGAAAAGAGAGTTTTTTATAAGCTACTGAGGCAAAGGAAAAAAAACAAAATCTACTAAATTCTAAATGTCTTTTTTTTTATTTTATTTTTATGACTTTTAGAGAATTGAGGAAGGATGTATACGTGTAGGGTATACAGCTTTGGGCTTATGAGGCCCGAGAAGAGAAAAGAGTGCGGTACGGTAAACTGAACGGGGGGGAGTGACCGATAAACTAGGGTTCGTTAACAGACAGCTCTGGGTTTTCTGTTTGTGGTCTTGTGAGATACTTTCTTTGGAGGCGATAAAAGTTTCGGATTGGACAAAGTGTTAAAGGTAAACTCGTGAGCCTATCAGAACATAGGACATGTTTCACGGTTTGACCGTATATATATTACATAAAAAAAAAAAAAAAAAAAACAAGAATTTTGCAAAAAAGAATATGTATTGCACGAACCAGTAATAATTTTAGGAAGGAAATTTTTATGCCATTTATTCTAAAAAAAAAAAAAAAAAAAAAGTTCGGAGAGACCATCATTTAGTCGGAAAATATAAACGTAAATTTTGGTATAACAACGGACATCAGGTCAAAGCGAATCGTCTAGGTCCCAAATAAGGACAAAATTATTAAAATACCAATAATCTACTAAATAATATATATAAAATACATAATTCGATTTAAAACTTATGTTCCCCTCTAAAGAATATTAATATCGCCGTATAACATGATAGGTTCTTGACATGTAGGGAAGGTCGGTACAACGTGCACAAAAGATAATTAAAATAATCTTTAGTTATCCAAATCAGCAATCATCAAAAATAAGTAATAATTTTTGTAATTCCTAACATAAAGGTACAAAATGTATTGTTTGCATCTTATCAGGCCAATACGTGTTGAAATTCATTTAATGACAAACATTGATCATCGTGTATATCTTATAAAAAGTTCAAATTATTTGATAGAAAGTAATTGCTGTTAATAATAAATACTTACGCGTGAACATACTAGTCTTTCTTCAAAGATTATAACAGATAATAAAGTTATTATATTATTAATTGTTATCATTATTTATCATCCCTAATGCATCAAGATCATATTTTGATCAAAATAAGTAAATTAGATTACTTTACCGTTTTATCAAGGAGGATTTTTTTTTTTTTTTGAAAGTCCAAATTCAACTATTTAAAGCTAAAAAGGGGGAAAAAAAAAACAAATACATTTCTGACATATATGCGATCAACTGATCCGTGAAACCCACTTTCAAACAAGATTGAAGATATCTAAGCGCAGTTTTTTTTTTCTTTGACACATCCAATAGTAAATAGATGATACCTGTACTACGATATGATAAAAGATGATAAAAGAAATGATAACGATAACTTTGTTCCCGTGCCCGAGAGAAAACAAGTTTGTATGCACGATCAAAATAAATAATACCCACTTTTTTTTTACTTTCCTGATTTCAATTTAGCATCGGACAAAATCCAAACTCGGTCATTTCTAGGTATATCATTTAGGTAAATATATAGTAATACATATTTATATATCAGATATAAAGTATATAACAGTAATATAATATGATGGAAGCCACCTACATAATATTATCCGGAAATAACTTCTTAATCTTTTCTTATTGTATGATACAAAGCATTAATAATTGTTTATTTAACGAAAATTTTTCGGAATAATCTCGAGCAGATTTTTCAATAACGAATCAAAATGATACATTTTCGATTTACCCTATTAATTAATTTATTATCACATCAAAAAACGTAATTTTAAGTCATGCTGTCAGCACACATGATGGCCAATAAAATTGTTCCATGCGCAATGTAAAAAAATTAATCACTTGATCAAAATGTAACATAAAATGTTAATGGTTGTATGTAGACGATGCTATGCATTTACCTACGTAGTAATACAGTTATTCACTTTCAAATTTACAAAAAAAAAAAAAGCAAAAAAAAAACGTATATATACATTTAAGAAATTATTTTCCATACTACAGTACTAAAAAAATACTAATTAAAAAAAAAATATATATATATATATATATATAAAGATATTTGCCAAAAACGATTACAAATAAGTTAACGTGATCTCTTCTATCATATCAGATATTATAAATATAAGATCCATTTTTGAAATTAGGATAACTATTCCCTTGACCATAAAAGTGTAAGGCTTTCACAGCAATTTCACCCTACACAAGAAATATAAATTTTGAATATTTTTTTTTTTTTTGATCCAGACCATTAATTATCAAATATCAAATAAATACTTACAATAGCTACAAAAACTGCCACAACGATCAACCAGATTATGATCCATGTAATGCGTGTCATATTATAACTACCAACGTCTTCACGTAACATATCTAATAAATCACTAATAACTTTACATCGATCATTAAGAAGTGTAGCACGTTGAGAAATTTCAAGATATGCTAATTAAGATCGAATAAAACATTAATAAAATGTTTTCTGAATAAAGTATATAAAAATCTAGTGAATTAGAATTACCTCTAATGGCACTATATAGCGGTTCTAAAGACGGTTCCGCCCAAAAGATTTCAGGCGTATCTTTAAAAAACAATATATAAATATAGTATGTGTACAGAAAATTTTATAAAATAATAGAATCAATTTTAAACTTTTACCTAAAACATTTGAGACTAGGTTAACATTCATTCGTAACTTAAACATTTCACCGCTTAACTTTGTAATTTGAATTCGATTCCTGAAAATATAAGATTTTATAAAAAAAAAAAAGTATTAAATGAGTAACCAGATAAAAATACTGAAATATCAGAAACTATCAGAAACTATCAGAAACTTACAAATTTAAATGACCAGTTTGAGCCAACATTTTTGGTATATGTTTTGTCCTTTCGATTGTATTATCCATTTGCCATTCATATAAAGTTAATTTTGTACTCTGACTCATAGCATGACTGATAGTTAATTTAATCATATGGTTATCTGACTTCAAAGTAATCATATCATTGAAAATTCTAGGTTGTCTATTTGAATTAAGATCATATTGAAAATGAAAAGTTTCACACTCAATATCGTCAGCTTTTAACGGACGAACTGAAACTTTTGACATTGTAAGATCATCAAGAATCATTTTTTCCTGATCTTCAGTCATATTCCAAAATACAACTACTCCATAATCAAAATAAAAAACTTCACCAATATCTAAAAGATTATTTTGATTAGGTTTTGTCGATGACTCATTTATTACGACACCATCATAACCATCTTCATTTTCAGGCATTACAAAATAAGGATTCACTTCATTATTCTCATAATTTTCGATCTGCCTCTCCATAAATGAATGACCATTAGGTGAATGTATTGCAGTGGATGAAGAAATCTTGGTATTTCTACCTTTCAATAATGGAAAATGGTATGGCGCATATAAACATTCATCATATAACCTATCAAATAAAAAAAATTCATATAAATAAAATTAATAAATAAAATTAATATGTAACAATTAAAATTAAAAATTAATGAATAAATTAAAAAAGATATAACTACAATTATCTATAACATACTTTGGTTGAATATTGTGTTCTTCTCTCAAAAAACTCAACAACTTTTTAAGATAATATCCTTCTGCCGTACAATAAGCAGTTGCCCTTTTTGATTAGATGAATTTAATATACTATACATTATATTATACGCATTATTATACGCATTATTATACGCATATTATACGCATTATTATACGAATTATTATACGCATTATTATACGCATTATTATACGCATTATTATACGAATTATTATTATATCAGATATATATTACCTAGGATATTTATTAATTTCTCTGCTTTCCTTGGGCATTCTCTCAGCATCGGTAGAATCATGAATATTATTAACGGGTGGGTGAGAAGCTAATGGAGTAACAGGGGTTTCAGGATAGTCAGAAAGTTCACCAGGTGGTACTTCAGCTTCTTCTGGAAGTAAAACCAATTTTTGAGCCGTTTTTGTTGTTCGTAAAGGAGCATTCGGTTTTATACGGCTTCCAGATATATTACTAGTATTAGATTGAGTAGTAGGAATTATTAAAGGATACGGTGGCTTCTTGACTCTCAACTGGGTTGTTCCAGGTGAACTTGATATTTCAGTTTGTTGAAATCTATTACGAGAAGAATCTGTTCGAGAAGAAACTGCATTTTCTGTCAATTCAAAGGCTGCTGCGAAATCTGTCGATTCAGTCATTGTTTAATTTCAGACGTGAAATAAGAAATGTCTTAAAATTTAAATCTCATCAATTCTGCAATTACTGAAGTAACACAAAATGTCAATTTCCAACTACTGTATTTGGTGGAGATATGACATTATTTGCTTTTTAGGCGGTCAAAGTACGTACACATAAACGATAAATGACTCAGTTTTAAGTAATGTTTTTAATATTTTAATAAGCAATACAGCAATACAAGGTACAGTATATATATTTACAAATTTCGTGAAGAAAAAAAAAAAAAAAATTAAAATAAAATACGTGAAATTATTACAGTACTGTTAATTTAAAATTTTTATTTATACTTGAGGAAAGCTTAAGAAAATCTATCTATTTAAAGTTATTTGATTTTAAATAATCAAATAACAAACAAATAACAGATAAATAAATAGATAAATAAGGTAATATAAGATAATGATTTGTTCCATTGCTCTCTTAAAAATTAACAAAGGAAAAATCTGCTTGTATATCTTAAACAAAATGAGTAGGGAAGTTGTAGTACTAACATAAAGTTGGCTTATAATAAATTTTTTTGAGAAAACAAAAAAAGACTATAATCTGCAAAAACAACAAAAACTATAATCTGCAAAACAACAAAAGCAACTTAATTTATTCATAATCAGATCTCGGATTTTGATGATGACGAGAAACCTGAGGATTCGTCCAAGCATCTAAAATCTGTCCTAATGATACACCACTTATAGCTGTATTTCGTCGAAATAAATTCTTATTCTTTCCATATTGTTCATCACGAACATATGGCTTAATTTCCATTACCATTCTTCTTTTACTACTGAAAGGGAAAATCTTTTTAATAACTGAATGATTATTTGGTTCTTCATTATAGTCATAATAAAGTTCAAACAAGAGTATTGGAAGTTCTAAAGCGTTTATCCTAGATCTTGTATCCGCTTCTTGATTATATTCGC